CTAGACAGTGAGAGCAATCTAACACGAGATCAATCCCTTTCCACAGTCACACAATCACAAGCACTTCTTTATGCAACCAGGCAGTCCGTCCAGCCAGTCTTCAGCCAATGCCATTCGGCATTGTTGCATTCACAAATGCATCTTGAACATTGAGGGCTCATTAGGGAGGTGTCATTTAACAGAAGGTGTGTTGCAGCGCCGCGGGCTCGATCTTCTGAGCGGCCGCTGGGCGGTCCAGCTTTCCTGAAGGTTCGACTAGTTTCACATCTCACAAGAACTGGCTACGACTGCTGTTTCATTGCCGGCGAAATCGCAAGTTCAGTTTCGGTCACGGAGGAAGTCTGCCTTCATTCACAGTCGCAGCCGCTAGAGTCCGGAACGCTGAAGATGTGAATAGTTTGGGCGCAACTTGTTCCTCATAGAGTTCTTGTCGTTATCTTAAAACCCAAAAGGTTAAACTTCAGAGTAGATTGAACCTTAAACCTAACAAATTTCCACACGGTGCTGCGTATGAGGGTGAGATCGCGAGTTGTCATACCAGCTTGCATGTGATCCGTGCTCAAGGTGGCATGTGGGCACGGGGATGCAGTGCCCAATGCAGAGTCTACGTTTAAAGTTTAGGTTTTCAGCCAAGCTTTCAAAGACTTAAATCGGGACAGAAGAAATTGTCTGAAATTGTCACTCCAGTATCATGCCTGAGTTCATTCGTTTCGGAGGCTTCCATCAAACCCAGAATTCGAAGTCTGAGCTCAAAATCCCCAACCGGTTATGCCCACAGGAAATTCAAGTGTACGCAGGCAATCATCGAAGTGCCAAGCTGGACAACGAAAGGGCCACCCTACTACGGGAGCTGCAGCTCCATTCGCACTTAGAGTAGCAGCGCCCAGAGTCGCTATGGTACAATGACGAGCATGTCATTGGGCGAGACTGCGAACCAGAATCACACTGTGACCATTGAAGGTCATCATGTCCCTGATGACTTTGTAGAGATTGACTTGGAAGAGGAAGTGCCAGATGAAGCAGACAGCGGTCCCCAAGAATCATCTGAGTCTGGAGACTCTGGAGAACCGAGCAAGCCAGCACTTGCAGCTCTCGTTGGGCTCATCGAGAGGATGCAGCCAACTCGACCCGAAATCCTGCGTGCAGTTCCAACATATCAAATTGTAGCCAGGTTGGGACGTGTCTTCTGGGCTCGGAAAGACCGAAGCTTCTTTAGCCTCAGCAAAGTCACACAGGAATACGATGAGTTTCTGAGTCATAGCTGGCAGGTTGCAGTCTGGAAGAAGGTGCTGCTATTGATGGTTATCAAGAACGGCTTGCCTTCGGTTGTCGTTGGAACTCTCACTTCCTTGCTCATGGTGTTGCTGTGGCAGTTTGATTTCTTGCCAGGCTTTCCGAAGCTTGGTGAGAAATGGTCCTGCTGGTGCTCTTCTGTTGGGCTGATCCTGGCACTTTTCACGCTGGCTTTCTGGAGACCGCGTGGGTCGATTTTCGTTGATAGAGTGTGCATCAATCAGTTTGATCCACGCATGAAGACCGAAGGCATCATCAACATTGGTGCCGTGCTAAGGGTTTCTAAATCCCTGCTGGTCCTTTTCGACGATTCCTACACGGAGACTTGGTCAAAGTTAGGGATCTCTTTTGCTTCGTCCGGTTTGGCGTTCCAAATATCTATGTTGGAAGGGAACTCATAATTAGAATCTTTGTTCTTTCTGTCTTGACATGGACCAAGGATAGGCTGTGGTGCTTGTTTGAAATTGCCGCATTTCTGAAAGCCCATCCAGAGGCTGCAGAGAAACCTTACATCCTGCAGGTCAAGCCGATACTGTTGGGCTTCATTACATGCACAACTTGCCTTGGTGCGTTCGGAGCGGGTTTCTTTGCTGTCTTCAACCCATTCGAAGATCTTTTCCTGATATGGGGAGTGCTTCTTGCCTTCGTCACTGCCGAAGGCATGTTCCTCGTACATGCTTTCCGCAAATATTACAGGTCTCTTGAGGCTATCACGAGTCAGATGCAGAACTTCCGGCTGCGACACGCGGAGTGTTGGTGTTGCAGCGTAAACCACATCCATCCAGCTAGTGGTAAGCCAATCGAGATATGTGACAGAGAGATTGTCAGCCAGTGTGTGACAAGCTGGTTTGGATCTGAGCAAGAGTTTGACGAGTCTGTTCGGTCCCTCGCAGCCCGGGCTCTCGAACAGCAGCTGGGATACGATGCTTTTCCTTATTTCTGGATGCTTGGATCTTTCGTGCCTGTCTGGTGGCCCTTCATGGACTACCTGGCCGTGTACTTACAATGGGAAGAGAACCAATTTCTGGTCCCATACTTCGTGATCAGATTCCTCGCCTTTTGGCTTTTCTGCTTCCCGCTGGTTGGTACCGTCGGTATTTTCTTTGCACGCTGCCTCCGACGGAAAGCTCAATGGATATGCACAGAGCTCTTCTTGGATGCGCTGGTAGGCGTGCTCACGTTACCCTCATTTCTTGCCTGTATAGCATGGCAGTTGTACACGGAGATTACGTTTTACAAAGAAGATGTTCAAGATGGGCTCTCTGAGACACTGGGATCCGTCATTTTCGCCGCTGGTTGCGGCGTGGCGCTTTTTGCCACAAGGAAGGGGTTCCATTTTGCCAACAACCGTTTATTCAAGACGCTTGGTGCTTGAGCTCGCAGACGACCATCTTCAATCTCGTGTCTTGATGTGTTTAACAGTTTTGAGTGTTTCGGACATTGCCGGTGTTTGATCGCATGGGCGAGGCCCCTCAAGGGGGGTACCTTGCTCGACGACCTATGGTCACCTGCCACCACATGCGTGAGGGAAAAGCCACATGCCTTGCTGAGCCTTCCAGGGTTCCAGTCTTTACTATAGCGTACTATGTCCTATTCTAGTACTTAGTTTAAAAACAGCGGATGCGGCACGATGCTATTGCGAATGGAATGCAGTTGTTTTTGCAGCAGCTGCATCGAGCTTCATGCTCAAAGTGATCACGACACCTGGCATTGACTTGGCTCAGGCTTGCAAGCGACAGGAGAAGGTTAGATGCCTGTTCGGAATCTCATGCAGATGGCAAGCTTTGCAACCTTTTCATTTTTCATGCCTATGTGGGCCATTGCCAGGTCGTCCGGTGACACAGCCGATTCTGACATGTGCAGTTCACATGCTCAGATAAGCATGTTGCAGCTTGGCAGTATGCTGACACAGCAACCGCAAAATCAGTGCGGACACTTGCTGATAGATGCTTGCGACCCTCGTGCGAACTATCGTTGCAGCAACAATTGTCGGATCCATTCACATGGTGCAGACTGCTTTCGCTCAGTCGTTGATGTCATGAACGAGCACCCTGGCACAGATGGGTACTGTTGGTTCAATGCCACAGCCTTCTGGGTCATATATGCAGGTCCAGTGCCCCACTTTGAAGACGAAGCTGTATCTGGAATAGTGGGACTCCGTGAGCCAGACTATAAGGGCCTGAACAAGGGACCTTTGTTGACCTATTACTTCGAAGGCCAGGTGATCACGTCGTACATGGACAGTGCCCACTACAGCTTCGATGACTTGTATGGATATGCACTTGGCTTCCTCCAGGGACAGGGATTGGATCCGGCTTGGATGAAAGATCCGAGTCGTTGGATGTCCCTGTCCCAGCAAGCCTGCGACAGGATCCAGCAATCATACAACTTCAGCAACGAGGAGTTGGTGTTGGCGGACTGGCTAGATTACAACCAGATCCTGGCATCGATGGCATTCTGCAGTGCTGGTGTCATCTACAACATCACTGACCAGTCCTTGCTGGCCAGTTCGCGCGGTTCCCCAAGCTGCAGAAACATCACTCGCAGAGACATGGCCAAGCACCACTACGTGAAGTGTGTCCTGGGTCACCGGAATTCGGCTGGTGACATGGCATATTTGAACAGCCGTGCTTGCTTGTTGGAGGGGAATCGCATTGGACATTTCAGTGAATGTCCGTACTCACCACCAGGTGTAGACTTCTGACTCCTTCAGTGTCAAGCGATCGAGTATACAAACAGCGGCAGCAAAAAGCACTCATCAATTGGTCCCGCTGCTCTGCCTGCTGTGTCAAGCTTCGATGTTAGCCCGTTTCAGCCCTGTGTGAGCGTCGTGATTTTATTGGCAAGCCTGCATTCTGCCGTATTTCCTGATGCAGCGTTCCAGTGTGTAAAGTGTCGCAGGCATCGGCAGTGGGCAGTATGTCACAAGTAGGAAGGTGTTTGACAGTTCGTTACATCCCTAAACCACAGGGTGGGCTTCTCATCTTGTCTGAACGACGTGCCTGCGCACACTTGTAGTCTCATGCAGTACAGCATGAGCCAGCATGGCATTGTCCTGGTCGCAGTCTGGCAGATCTGGGCGGGGGCCAAAGGCGAGACAGAGTGCAATGAGGAAAGGGCCACGAACATGCTTCAGCTGGAGTTCACCCGCACGAAAACTCGGGATGAGGTTTGTGGACATCTTTTGGTCGAAGAGTGCGACCCAGAAGCCTTCTACACATGTAGCAACAACTGCCGATTTCACACACATGGAAGAGACTGCTTCCGTCCCCTCCCAGACATTCTGGCAGAGCATGCTGACCTTACTGGTGCGGAGTTCGATGGCTACTGCTACTTCAACTGGACAGCCAACTGGTTGACGTACAACGGAGCCATCCTTGACTTTGAACAAGCAGCAATTGATGGCATACTCAACTTGAGGGATTCATCATACAGTGGCTTGAGTTCAGGACCCTTGGTCACTTATCGGTTCGAGGGCGTGGAGAATCTCACGACACATCTGGATTTGGACCACTACTTATACGATGACCTCTACGCATATTCCTTGGGTTTTCTTCAGGGCCAAGGATTAGAGCCGGCATGGATGAAAAACACATCCTTGTGGATCGCTCTCTCCAAGCAAAGATGCGAGGAGATTCAGGCCAAGTACAACTTCACCAAGGATGAACTGATCCTGAGCGAGTGGCTCGACCGGAACATTGTGCTTGCTGTAATGACGGGTTGCAGCACCGAGTGGCCACATCCGTGGAACGGGAGTGCCAATCCTGCAATTAATGAAATGGCCGGCTGGCGCAGCAGCACAGACTGCAAGCCAGTGACACACCGTGAGTATGCCAAGCACTATTATGCCACTGAGGCTGATTTAAGGTGTCATGCATGAAGTACTAGCTTGCTCTTGCCACATGAGCTTCACAGTGCGTTCCGCGGGTGGCATTGCTGAGGTCAAGTGCCTTCTCGGTCATCGCAACAGTGCTGCTGATATGGCTTACTCGAATTCACGTGACTTTCTGCAAGTTGATTTGTCTGCTTTGATCGGATTTGGCGATTGTTGAGATTTTCTTTGTGGAAATTTACTGATCTTGCCTTGCTGAGCCATTGGGGAGGTGCTTGCCTGCTGGACGGGACCCACATTGGGCATTTCTCAGAGTGCCCCTATGCGCCGGACGTTGACTTCTGATGGTCTATCTTTTGCAGGGCTCATCTGCAGTTCAGGACCGTATCCTTCCAGGTCCTACTTTCTGATCGGGCCGGCTTGTTTGGCAGAGTCTGCACTTCTTCCCAGTGTACACCTTGGTCATCCTTGGTCGATGCTGTGAGTCTTTTTTGTTCAGTTGACATCTCCAGAAAGGTGACTTGTTGGCAAGATGTACCAGCATGAAGAAGGTTTCACGTGAACGTCCACTAGCATGTGCTGCGAATGCTTCTGGTTCTTCGCACCATATTGCTGGTCACAGTTTTCCCATGTCTGATGCCGACACAACGACAGAACGGAGCCTGTCAGTTCAGCATGTTCCCAGAGAGTGGCAAGAGCGGCTTGATCCACACGGAAAAGAAAACTCCTTGCTCCGCCAGTGAGAAAAGTAGCATGCGAGAAACCGGACGTGCACCATGGACGGCTGCCTGAGTGTTGACTGCTTTGTTCTGAAGATACAACCCCTCTCTTTTCTCGGCTCATCACGTTATCACCGGGGAATTGTCCAGAGCGACAGGCGCATTTGCCGAGATGAGTGCTTGTTGGATTCTGCTGCCTTTCTCGAGAATGAGAGGTCTCCACTCCACTGCTCCAGAAGACCCGGCGCAGCCTTGCGGGATGGGAGGCCTTTTGTCTTCAGCTCACCAGGTTGTTGTGGGCTGTGTCTTGAGTGTTGTGCCTCTGGGCGTGGCTGACACTGCGCATGAGTCTGCAGTTCTACAGTAGAAGCCGAAAACTTGGAAGCCCAATAGCCTCAATCCTAAAGAGTAGTGAGTAGTGTATAGAATCCCAGCACTAATTGTCCTTAATCCGATTTCCAACGTTTTGCGGATTACTTTAGACTCATCTCAGGACCCGGAGATCCTCAGCATTGTCTTGTGGGAGGTGCTTGCACTCTGCTGGTGCAAGACATCCTTTCCAGAAGAACAAGGGCCTAGTGTCCGCCGCTTCTCTAGGGCCTTGAGGAGGGAGTGCAGGGTCAAAGAAGACCTCCAACTTCCAGGAGCAGTTGACAAAGATGGCCATGGCAGTTTCCGGCCAATCTGTTGTTGACAGCGTCAAGTAGGCCCCTGATTTACGAACCCCAGCATGGGAATCCTAACATTGAGGTTCTGAAAGCGCCTGGCTCTATGAATCCTTGAAGGAAGTACCCTAAACCCCAAACCCTGAATCCTTGAGCGAAGTACCCTGGGTCTCCTTCGAGGTTGTGCCGACCCTGGACTGCACCGGATGAGGCTTCAGCTTAAGATCTACGTGAGCGCTGCCCTCTTCAGAGGTCGACATGCGCCCCCCAAAGCGTTCCTAGCTGGTCAGGGGCCATTCTGAAGGGCCTCTGACTTGCCTCCACTGCCTTGCCACAGACAAGATAACAGAGAAGAGTGCAGGTTCAGTGGGTCTCTCATGGCGTGGCCGAGGATTCCCAGCAAGGTGCAGGACCTGTGGCACGGAAGATCCACGTGGGAGTTGACGGCCTTTGCAGCGGCTCCTTCCTAGTGGACTCTGCTGTCTGTGTTCGAGCTCCCTGAAGCATCACTTCTTGCGTCATCTTGAGTAGTTCCGGCCATGGGACCTGTCATTGTTGGGCTTCCAGCTGCTTGGGGCCTATAGCGGTCAGAAGCCGCGACTTCTCTAGAAGCCGATCAGCAGAGGTCTGCTCACCCGTTTGCTGTTACGAGCGGTTTTGAGAGCACCCATAGATGCAGAGGCTTCCCTGCATGACCCATGAGACCTCGTGCCTCGGGCTTGTCCCTCGAGAATCAGTCGCTACAGCTGCAGTTCTCTTGCGGGTTCCGCTTCATGTGTTTGTGAAAATTAGGCATGCAACTCCGTTCTTCCCGAGGGATGTAGCTCGCCAAGTTTGATTTCTCTGTGCGTGCCACTGCATTGCAAGCCTTCCGTGATCAATGCGTGCACTGTTTGCGATATATCAGGTTTCCACATGCCGTTCTGCGGTTGAAAGCCCCGTGAAGGCCAGGGCGGCCAAGTTGAAAGATGATTCACGACGCACACTTTTCGCCTTGTGGTAGGCTCATTGAGGGCAGGTAAGGTGCGGTGGTGTCTTCTGCGACGGCGAGATTAAGGTGAAGGGAGCTTAGCGTGCAGCTGGCAGAAAGGCCGCTGCAATTGGTTTATCGCTCCTGCGAAGCCCAGCTCAAGATTGCCTTGTGCAGGACGCCAGAGGATTCACTGCTCGGGCAGCTTGCCTTCAGCCAGGAACTGCAGCCCGCGACATCAAGAACGCGTGCCCGGCATGGCGGTTCGCTCTGGGTGCAATGTTCCGAAGCCCCTCGCAGCTTACTGTAGAGTCTGGATGAGACCGTTCCGGCACACAGAGGATTATCACCAAGCTCTCCAAGTCTTGATTTGTCTGGATTTCATGAGGATTTGTGAGCCCAAGATACCACTGCGAATATTGGACGCTACATTCAGGAATCGTGTCTTTGCATGCTTCGTGCTTGCCCCCGCGCCCTGCTCCAGCTACGCTGCCAGTTTCCCATGCTAGAAGCCCCATCCACTGGGCCTCCTCTTTCTGAGTACGCCGACGATCTCGCGTGGCTGCCGTGTGTGCTGCTTCCCTCATGCAGTTCCACTATTTGCGCGGGTGACATGTTGGCCGACAGATGTCTCCGACCAGGTATGTAACTTGCAGCTGATGGGTTGCTGACAAAGATGCCTCTGACATGCTTCAGCTACAGCTACGTTGTGGTGGGCCTGGGTTCTTTTGCCCAAAAGGCCCTGCATCATAAATCCCAACTGCAGCTGCCACAACAGGCCTGCCGGTATCACTCTCCGTTGAGGCATCGAGATGTTCTCGGCTTGACGGCTGCCCTTTGGAGTGGATTGAGGATCAAAGCACTCAGATGACACTGGGCAGAATGCTGCAGCGCTGCGGACTGGGCTTTTGCCGGTGCATCTGCCTCGCGCGATGGACTGCAGATGTCGAATGTCAGCAAGTCTAATAGAAAGCACTCCTCCTTCATCAGATGCCGAGGTGTGCCTGCGGCCGTGGGGTTTTCGACCTGCAGCCTCTGCTTGTTGACAGCTCTGGCAGCCGGTGGCCTGACAACGGTCCACTGCGTCGTTTCGAACTGCAGCTGACCGATGCACAGCCCCTGAGACAGCGAAGATATCGACCGGACAAGGTCAGGGGGGTACCGTTGAGGCGAAGGCGGTCCAACATTCGAGACCCTCCGGTTAGTTGCAGAGCACCGGGTCGGCCAAGAAGGCCCAAGTTTCGAATGTTTCGATGAATCCCTGTACGGCTCGACACTCACTGCTGTTAGGCACCGGGTGAGAGTCTGAGACCACGTACTTCGCAGAAGAAGCCACAGCGGGCCTCATGCTTGGACTTCTCCCCTCCTCACTGGGCGGTGGCCAAGACCATGGCTCACCCGCTGGCCGGGTTCCGCCGGAATCGGATCTGAGGTTCAAACTTGATGCGAAGTAGGACGAAGGGTTTCTTGAGCATAAAGTGCCCGAGCCTGGTGTGAAGCCGTCGCAGATCCGATTCAGGTTCACGACATGCTTCGTGAAGAACTGCACCGTCCTTTTCAGCTGCTGTGGTTTTGCTGCTCTCATTCCACACCTACCAAAGCCTGGCCTTTCCAACAGGGGATTCTGGAGAGCCTTCCAAAGCATGAGGAGCCACCGGCCGCCCGCTCGATCTCAGCGGCAGGCGGGCTGTTCTCACCTGGCCTTTTCAAGAGCTACACTGGCTACACTTGCATGACCGGTGTCAGTCGGAATCCTTTGGTTCTGGTCTCTGCATGGACGACTGGTGTCCGTCGCCTCAAGTCGAGCACGTCCCTTCAGCCAGCTGTTCCGCCCATCCGGCCAGGTTGAGTCATTGATCCCGGCAGCCAGCAACAGCCTCGGAGCACCGCACTTTTCGGCACTGTTGGTGGAGAAGGGAATCTCGACCGTTTAGCCGGATCTTGGCAGTGAGCTACAAGCTCATCCTAGTACCTCTAGCAGGCCAGCTGTTGGAGGATGGCTCATCTGGGATAGCCTGCAAGTCGGTGGAGAGTTCTCATGTCAAGAAGGTCCAGCACAGATGCAGATAGCCCTCAAAACGCCCACGATAAGATCATCCGTACTGCCTGCAACCTGGTGCTGTCGCTGGAGCAGCACTGGCACCTCCGTTTCGTTCTGCCGGTGCGACTCCGACGTTCCTCTCCGCGCGACAACGCAGCAATTGCGATTCTTTGCAGGGGAAAGGTCTATTGCTGCCTGATCGTACGGAGGTGCAGAGTTGCAATTTGAGTTTAAGCCTACCCGGCTGACATCTTCTCAGATCACATAGCCGTTAAAGGACTTCCGGCAGGGGTCACTTTTAAGACGTGCCCCATGAAGTGGTAGTTCATCCGGCGGGATGCTGCGGCGAGTGGCAGCCTGTATAGGTTTTCTGTGTAAGGCCGCAGTGAAGCCGCAGTGAAGCCAGGCCCACTCTGACTCGCACACCTCCAAAACTTGGCATCCTTTGCCTTGGCTTGCAATGGAGAGCTAATGTTCTGCGAGGTTTGTAAAAGGCTCGTGAATACATGTTGCAGGCAAGCATTTAGACCGTTGAGCCATGCAAGGTTCTAAGGCTCTTCGGAGTGTGGCGGTCCCATCATGTTCGCCAATGTACGTTGCAGAGCTTGGATTGAACTGAGGCTCTGCCAGTGCGCAGCAGGTCGAAATCGAGCATGTGTCGCTTGTGTTTAAAGCTTGGAGTCAGGACCTCATTGCCTGGCGTCCTAGGCCCTCTGATGTTCAGGAGCAGGAAGAGTGGAATCAACACGCTCACCTAGCTGGGCATCTCGTTGTAGAGACGTGTTGCAGGAAGACATGATAGTTTCGTTCTAAATTTGATTCCACAGCTGTGGCTTTCATGTCGGCCTTGATCACACATGGGTGACTCATGATTTGAAAGCACATGCGATCAAGAAGGCAGGTCAGCTACATATCGCTTAGAGTGACAGGCGGAACATGACTGGAGACAG